TAACGTGATTTGATTGCTTTCATAACTTGAAGGCATAGCCAACCTATTGGTATTCACTGTCCATGATTTCTAAGTTATATTTTATTTATTTATCACTAGCTTTTACCCGCGGCTTCGCTCGCGTTACAAAAGAATAAAAAGTAGCCTATGCGACATATACCAATACACACAGCGCCTTCTATACCAATACTTTTGTTTTTCCTCGGGAATATCAATTTTTTCCGGGTTAAAAAGTACCCTATTATTTAATCCGGACTTCTAACTTTACGTCTGCAAAAATTCAAAGCAATCGGTTAAGTAGTTACAAACAAACAAACAAACTCACTTTCAGATTTATAATATTAGTATAGTAAGGATAAGGATTTCATGTACAACCATACATCAGACAATACAGAGGTACATAAATATGTACTGCATATCCCTTAAGGGATTTCTTCCTGCAGACCTACGACAGGACAAGGAATATAAACATTAGACACAGTGTTATATGTAAAGGTTACATGCAATGAATACAAAAGAAAACTTAAAACTAAAATGACCGATATATACCTAATAAAATTTGGCTCATTTTTATCGAAGCATGGCTCTCCCAGATAGGGTTGCCACCCGTACTTTATAATAAAGTATTGTACGTTATTCAAGGTAATTGTACTCTATACTTTATACGAATAATAAAGTACACGGAAATACTTTATTTTTGCAAACTTCATTTCTATTAAAGTCGTAAGTATTTTTAGGTAAACTTATCGATTCGATATCGATATTTATCGATTTATTTTGAATCGATTACGCCACTCGCCTGCGCCACTTAGACAATTTCTAATAAAGATGCAATTGTTTAGCATTTCAATGCAATTGTTTAGTAAAGATACTTATTTAATACAAACTGCAAAAAGCAATAAAACATATATTTTTAAATATAGGTAGGAAATAATTAAGAGTAAATTGTACTTTATTTTTTACTGTGTACTTTTTTTCTTACGTTTGTGTAGGCAATAAATCCCTCAGAGAAACATTAGAAATGAAAAAAGGATTTTTTTTTGTAGTTGGAATTTGCATTCGCATACGTATTCCGTTCGATAAACGTACCAATCACAGAAATAATACAAATTGAATACGGTACTTTGTGTGTTATCTAATCTATGTTTATTGTTATTAACTCGTTTCAATCATTACAATTTGACCTTGATATTAATCTCAGCTGACTGGCTCACTGATATAATAATGTCAAGATTTTGTGACGAAACTGTACACCGGTATTTTGCGAGTTGACTGACAAACGGATTTAATTTTGTATTATTAGTAGTACAACTATATTTTTATTAGTTAACATGTAACGAACTCTGTAATAATAAAATCTAAGACATAATATAACATCACGTCTTTTATCGCCGAAGGGGTCGCCAGAGGTGCACATTACGGCACTTAATGCTAATGTAATACCCACTTTTCAATATTTATGTTATGAGTCTCATGTAATAGGGGGTGAGCTTATTGCTACGCACCGTGCACATTTCCAGGTGTTTACAAACCCAGTAATACTTTGCCCGACCCGGGACCTGAAAAATCGGACCTGAGACCCCTTGATCGGCAGTCGCACTTGCGACCACTCGGCCATCGAGGCAGTCCTTTTAATTATAATAATTTAATTATTTCTATGCTGAATTTACCCTTACCAACAGAAGAATGAAGCAGTCAAAATTTTTTTTGTTCATATTTATTTCTATAATCGTTATCATTGGTTCTATTTCAACGGATAAAGAGATAAAAAAATCACGAGTTCGTCGAGGTCTAGCTCGCAGTTCTTCCGGGTTATACATAACTAATTAATGCATGCGAAATTTTTCATTTTGTTTATGGCATAATCCGGTAAACGAGCAGACGGATTACCTGATGGTAAGCAATCGGCGTCGCCCATGGACACCTGGAACACCAGTGGCGTTACAAGTGCGTTACCGGCTTTTTGGGGATTAGGAGTTTAAGGATCGTTGGGGATTCAGGAATTGGGGAGATTGGGGAAGGGGAGGGTAATAGGGCCTCCGGTAATCTCACTCACACGACGAAACACAACGCAAGCGTTGCTTAACGTCGGTTTTCTGTGAGGCCGTGGTATCACTGCGGTCGAGCCGGCCCATTCGTGCCGATGCCGAAGCATGGCTCTTAAAATAAATTGAACAAAATCCAGCTATGTTCAGGATAAATATTGTTAAAATTTTCGATTCACATTTACATTATGTTTTTCAGCAAACCTTTATTTTTCATAAAAATTGTTTATTTCATATCCTTTTAATAAATTGTTGTTACTTATATTCCGCGTCTTAAACAAAATGTAGGTCCGTATTATTCTTTTGAAAATCTGTAGTAGGTAAGGTACAAAGATATTGTTTTCATTACATAATGGAAGGGGCTTGTATTTCTTCTTCTTAAAATGATCAAACATTTTAATCTAAACAATGATTTCTGAAATATAAGCATACGTAGATTTGCAATATCCTAATGTATGTAGGTACTGTTAGCGAAGTTTTTATACATGTACAGGAATCATTGGTTCAAGTTGAATACTAAGTCGACCAATAGTTGAATTTGATTTCGTTGAAGCATACTATTTTTATAGTGATGATGACTGGCTTTGACTTTATGTCAGTAATTCACCGACGGAAGTGGAAACTATAGTTTTTCTTCTTCTCCTCTTATAATATCTCCTGATTCACCTCATTGCGGGAACCAAGACAGTTACCAAACCTTCTCCGTGTGAGAAGAGGCTTTGCTCAGCAGTGGGCACTAATAGGCTGATGATTGGACAAAGGATTTCAAATAAGATTCTTGTACTGAGCAATTTTGATTTGACAGTTTTACGTAGCATTATCTTACCAACAATCTTTAAAAAAAAATTCTGAACAACGAATGAGGAGTAGATGAGGTTTCAAATCAGATATCTGATTGCCATATAGTTTTTATTTATCTATAAAACCTTGAAGAAACGAGAGCAAATCATGCGTTAAACTTTTTATCTTAGTAAGCAGCGGTTTCTGATCGTTGTTTATTTTTTATGGGATAAGCCAGTGAACGAGCGAACTGATCACCTGATGGTAAGCAATCGGCGTCGCCCATGAACACCTGAAACACTAAAGGCGTAACAAGTGCGTGGTACCTTTTGGGGATGAGATGTTGGGGATTCTGGGATTGGGAAGATTGGGGAAGGGAGGAGGGGTAGTTGGGCTAACCTCACACATACGAAGAAACACAACGCAAGAGTTGTTTCACGTCGGTTTTCTATGAGGCCGTGGCATCACTCCGGTCGAGCCGGCCCATTTGTGCCGAAGCATGGAACGTCGAACTTATACCAAATTCTTTATTGGATAGTTTTCCACTAGTAATATTGGTATTGAATTTGAGACGCCATGACACTTACATTCACTGGGTGGTTGTGGTAGTTAAATAAAAAGAAAACACTTAAATGAAATAACTTTGACTGCCTCGTTGCCCGAGCGGTTACAAGTGCGACTGCCGGGTAAGGGGTCTCGGGTTCGATTCTGGGGAGGGGCAAAGTACCTATTACAGGGCTTTTTAAAAAAATCTCAGTAGTAGCACGGAGTCTGGAAATGAGCCCGGTATATGGCAATAGGCTCACCCTCTATTACATGGGACTCATAACATTAATAGTGAAAAGTGGGTGTTACTTCTGTGTGCACCTCTGCCTACCTCTTCGGGGATAAAAGGCGTGATGTTATGCATTAACAACAGTTAATGAAATTAATAAATAATCATATCAGTTTACTAATGCAATGCATTTATTATTATATACCTATTTGATAACCATTTTTATTAATTTCCTTATAGTAAAAAAAATGTATCCTTGTCTTTTTTATCAAAAAAAAAATCCCCGCCTCGTGCGTCAGTCACTCTGTCAATGACAACCATAAAATAATTTCAATGAATTTTATGCGGTATCTTTGAACAATACAGGAATTTTTAGGGAAGGATAATATTTGTGAAAATTTTTATACTTCGGCGGAAGAGTCATTAGTCATTACTAACTAGCCGGCGACTTTATCCGCGTAGAATATTATTCCTGTTTATCCCATGGGAGCATTTAATCGGGATAAAAAGTGTCCTATCAACTAAGTCAGCCTATACCCTGCCTGTATACCAAATTTCATCAAAAACCGTTCAGTAGTTTCAGCGTGATTGACGGACAAACATCCTAACAGAGAAACTTTCACACTTTAGTATTAAGTACTGTGATTGTTGAGATAATGATTATTTACATAATTCAACAACACAACTCTATTGACTTTATAAATTACTAGCAGCCCGTCCCGGCTTCGCACGGGGTAGACAATTATTTATTTTTGGAAATTTGGATTGTTGTAGTGACATAACTACAATAGTTGGACATATGCTACCGCGGAGTTTTTTGTACACATTATGATGTTCTTCAATATTGTTGTACATTATTTTGTTCTATCGCTAATAGTTTCGGCAGCGCATTCGACGAAAGACATTTTTAGACTCATTTTTCTACTCCTTCGGTTAGTACATTGTTCAAATTTTACCAATTATCCCTATTTTTAAAAAAAATGAAATGTAGCCTATGTCAAATTGGAAGAATGTAGCATTCTCTTGGTGAAATAATTTTTTAAATCGGCCCACTACTTTTTGAGCCTATTCATTACAAACATACAAAAATAGGTACAAATCTTTCCTCTTTATAATATTAGTATAGATAGACCGCCACTGAGTACAATCTTTGCATTCGTACTTCTTAAGCTTATGATCTACATTCATAGAATATCCGGTTACGCATATTTACACGGTTATTCAAGTCTAAAATTGTGCCCGGTATATGACAATAAACTCACCCCCTATTGCATGGACTCCTAACATAAATAGAGAAAAGTGGAAGTTACATTATACAGTGGTACTAACTCTGCCTACCCCTTCGGGGATAAAAAGACGTGATGTTATGTTATATAATGGATATTTATTTTCTTTTTCAGATTCGAAGAAACATCAGTAGACACTCCAAGCTGTAGATACAACAACAACTCATGCATCGGTGGATTCCCTCGTCTATACAAAGAAATCCACACTTTATTAGAAGAGAAACCAAACTCCATAGTCCTGAACGCTGGAGACAGTTTCCAGGGGACCTACTGGTATACCTTGCTGAAGTGGAATGTCACCCAGGAGTTCATGAATCTGATACCTCATGATGCCCATGTAAGTTAAACGAGTTTTCTTGGTACAAAATATTATGTCTGTTTGTTTTGCCAACCCTTAGAGGTGGGATATGAAGAAAACCCCCCTTCCCACCAGCTTTCCACTTAAAAGTTCGAAGCCTGGTTTTATGCATGATGTTATAAAGGTTATAATATGACTGCCTTGTTGGCCGAGTAGTCGCAAGTGCGACTGCCGGGCAAGGGGTCTCGGGTTCGATTCCCGGGTCGGCCAAAGGGCTGCTGGGTTTTAAAAAAAATTATCAGTAGTAGCACGGAGTCTGGAATTGTGCCCAGTATATGGCAATAGGCTCACCCCCTATTACATGGGACTAATAACATAAATAGTGAAAAGTGGGTGTTACATTGTACAGTGGCATAATGTGCACCTCTGCCTACCCCTTCGGGGATAAAAGGCGTGATGTTATGTTATGTTATGAAGGTGCGTCAATAATATTATGTCATTTTGCTTTTTTATTTCATAAAAACGTTGCCCCACACTAGGTTTTTCTCCAGTGTCGTAGGTGCGTTTACAAAGATTTTATTATATCTGGCACCCAGACTAGGGGGCATAGCTCTTGAATTCAATTCCGATCGATCGACATTGATATTCTGAAATGTCGTCCTCTTGATTTGCAACACTAGCGCCCAGTGCATCCTTATTGCGAGAATATTTAATGAATTAAATGGTATTGACTTTGGCTTTATATTCTGTACTCTGAATGCTATTTTAACAGCTACGTTTGGGGTTGTATAGTTTTGACATTGAATAATTATTGAGATTTTATTGGATTGACATTGACATTGGATAACAATTAGTGGATCACACAACAGGTTGTTCCGTGCGGGAATGGAATTGCATAGCCACCGCGACAATCGTGCTATCATATTTTAGACTAGCTGTACCCGCAAGTTCATCTGCGGTTTTAAAAATAAAACTAGCCTATGATGGATAGTTTTCGAGGACGGTCGAACAATTTCGAGGACTCTCGATAGTTTTCGAGGATGCTTGATAGGTTTCGAGGACGCTCGATAGGTTTCGAGGACGCTCGATCGATTTCGAGGACGCTCGATAGTTTTCGAGGACGCTCGATCGATTTCGAGGATGCTCGATAGATTTCGAGGACGCTCGATAGTTTTCGAGGATGCTCGATAGGTTTCGAGGACGCTCGATAATTTTCGAGAACACTCAATAGTTTTCGAGGACACTCGATCGATTTCGAGGACGCTCGATCCATTTCGAGGACGCTCGATCGATTTCGAGGACGCTCGATCGATTTCGAGGACTCTCGTTAGTTATCGAGGACGCTCGATAGTTTTCGAGGATGCTCGATAGTTTTCGAGGACGCTCGATCGATTTCGAGGATGCTCGATCCATTTCGAGGACGCTCGATCGATTTCGAGGACGCTCGATAGTTTTCGAGGACGCTCGATAATTTTCGAGGACGCTCGATAGTTTTTGAGGATGCTCGATAGTTTTCGAACACGCTCGATCGATTTCGAGGATGCTCGATAGTTTTCGAGGATGCTCGATCGATTTCGAGGACGCTCGATCCATTTCGAGGACGCTCGATCGATTTCGAGAACGCTTGGTAGATTTCGAGGACTCTCGATAGTTTTCGAGGACGCTTTATAGTTTTCGATGACACTCGATAGTTTTCGAGGATGCTCCATAGATTTCGAGGACGCTCGATGGATTTCGAGGACGCTCGATAGATTTCGAATAACTCTCGAAACTGATCGAGGACGCTCGATGGTTTTCGAATAACTCTCGAAACTTGATGACGCTCGATAGTTTTATTTTACCAGTCCTACCTTTTACAGAAACTGATTAAGGATTAACTTGTATACGATTTGGGGTGCCACTCGCCTCCAACTGGTATAATAATAATAAGCCCGCAGGGCACCTTGAGGCGAGGTGACGGGCATTAGCGATCCCGCGGGCTACCATCATCCCAAGTGCTCCAGGGAGAAGTCACCGTTCCTTACTCTCCGGCTTGCCTTAATTGGCTGGCTGGAGCAGAGTTCTAGCCGGAATGATATCGGATAGACCTAGCTTTATCCAACAGGGAACGGCTGAACCTAGTTATAGCCGGCATGATGAAGGCTAGACCTAGTTTTACCCGAAAACAATCGGCTCGTACTAGGTTTAACCAAGAGAGAGAGCTAAAACTAGCTGTAGTCGCACTTCGGGTATTAGCCGTAACATATACATAACTAAATATATGTCTTTTTTTAAATAAATATATAAAAGTAGGGCTATACATTCTTTATTTGATAGCTTATCTACTTATATGCGAATATATATACAGTTTGTTACGCTCTATTAGTTTATGATGGTGATTACCCGGTTTGACTAATTATGATAAAATGTCTTATGAATGTGGTTAAAAAACTGGTTTTGTAGAACTATCTAGGTGCACAAAATAATACATAGTTATATGAAACATTCTATTATCTTTACTACTATTAACTTACCCGAGTGGTCGCAATCGAACCCAAATCCGTGACTGACTAGTAATTACTGGGTTTAAAAAAAATTCTCAGTAGTAGCACGAAGTCTGGAATTGTGCCCGATATATGGCAATAGGCTCACCCTCTATTACATGGCACTCTTAACATAAATAGTGAAAGTGTGTGTTACATTCATACAGTGGCATTAAGTGCCGTAATGTGCACTCCTGTAAACCTTTTCGGGGATAGAAGGCGTGATGTTATGTTATGTATGTATGTATCCTTACTTTTTCTTTCCCAGGCTCTTGGAAACCACGAATTTGATGACGGCCCTGAAGGTCTGGCTCCTTATCTGAAAGCGTTAAAGGCTCCAGTGCTTGCAGCCAACATGGACGTCAGCGAGGAACCCATTCTAGAAGGACTGTTCATACCTCACATCATTTTGAAGAGGAAAGGCAGGAAGATTGGCATCATTGGGCTAATCACTCCTGATACAGCGGTAAGTTTCAATATTTGTTTCTTCTGACATTCATGTTTTTTTTAGCATGGTATGGACTACTGTTCGACCGATGTGGATTTTTTTTATGGGATAGACGGATCACCTGATGGTAAGATGGTAGACACCCGAAACACCAGGTGCGTTACATTACCGGTCTTTAGGGAATTGGGAATTTGAGGATTGTGGGGGATTCGGGGATTAGGGAGACAGGGTATTGGGCATCTGATGACCTCACTCACACAACGAAACACGACGCAAGCGCTGTTGCATGTCGGTTTTCTGTGACGCCGTGGTATCACTCCGATCGAGCTGGCCCATTCGTGCCGAAGCATGGCTGTCATAAACTTTTTATGGAATAGTGACCATAAACCTGTCAGTTGATGGTAATTACCTAAGTGATCAGAGCTGTCTTGGGACACCCGTAACTCCAGAAGACCTCTTTGTGTCACCGGCCTTATGAGGGAGAGGGTGCTGAACTTTCAATAATCTCACTAGTACGATGAAACATAACGCAAACATTGTTTGGTTGAAATTGTTTTGTCGGTATGATGACACTCCTGTCCTTCTGGTTCATGGCTTTCCCATATTAACGTATGTTTAATATTTTTAAGTTGATTTTTTTTGGCCAATATTTATTTATTTTCAAAAACAATTTACATTGTGTGTGAATTAAAGCTTAAAACTAATAACACAAGTACTACAAAAAGAAAAAAACAACACATTTCTTAAATCGAATTACAATTAAAATAGTTGCTAAGATACTGATCTCATAACAACAAAATTTATGTGACACAACTACATTAATACATTGATACACTGTTCAATAAGTATACCCAATACAATATAATACAATATAATACATGTCATAAAATCAAATCTACTATCAATGTCAAAAAAAAGATCAATATTAATACAAAGTAGGTAATTATAATGTCAACAGAGAATATTATCATCAACAATGTCAAAGAAAAAACAAAAACAAAAAGGTACCCAAAAACAACGCAGAACCAAATCAATCATTAAATAACAATTCAAAATTAAAAAAAAAGTAATATTCAATATTCAAAATTAAAAAAAATTAAAATTTTATTTCCATCCCTATCATATAGTTGGTTGGCAGGCCACAATTATGTGCTGTTCCCGAAATCTTCTGCTTCGCACAGTAAAACCGTAGAATGATCTGTCGTCGGCGTTATTTCCGAACCGATACGGCCTTCAAACCTTCAAGAAAGAGCGTATTCTTTTTTAAAAGGCCGCACCTGTGACTCCTATTGTTTTGCGGGTGTCCATGGGCTAGTTTGCCTCCTGTTCTTTAAAAAAAATCTGTTAATAAACTTTGATACTATAAGTATTTCTTTAATGTTAATAAGGGCTATATTGTAAGAACAAGATAACGCAATTTCATGTACCTATGTATATTATATAAAAGTATCTTTATTTTCTCGACTTCCTCCATCACTTCCATGGTTCACTTCCTATCATATCTAAAAGGAAATGGATAACAAAATATTTCTCTAAGAATTGCTATGAAATAAAAATGAATAAATGAGCATTATCAAGTTATGTAAAAAATGGAATTCTTGCATTCACTGTGTAAATAACAATTACAAAAGAATTCTATTTAGAAATTTTATATGGTAATGAGGTAATCAATAATATAATACTGCATATTTGCAGGTAATGTAGAGTGTCTAGTTGGTATTGCTGTATAGAGATAAGCACGTTATTGTACGTAATAATAATTATATAATAATATCATTACAATAATTTGTAGAAAATTGTGTTAATTAAATATGTCATCATAATTAATTACTTTCGTCACGATAATTGGGATGACGACAGGGTATGAAAATTAAAAATCTAATTAGTCCGTAAGTTAGGTATTTAAAAAATATTAGACACGTATTTTTTTATTTTGTCGTATAATAAAACAATACTTAGATAAAACGAATCAAAGTTTAGGAGTGGGGGCTAAAACGTCATTTCTACGTACAAAATGTACATAGAAGTAACGTCACACGACATTTCAAATCAATATATCGTGGAAAGTATGCGTTTCTGTAAGAAAAAAAAAATGCGTGTGAAATGATTTAAAATAATCTACCAGACGGACATGAAAATAAAAATTAGTCGTCTACCCTATTGGAATAGTTACATCACTAGTGACGTAATTCAAACCCTATTGTACCCTAAGCTTACTTGATCATTACAAACTACTGACGTCTGGCCTGGCTTCGCATGAGTTATGACGTCACAACTCATGATCACATCCCAATTTCATAGAGTCGAAAAAGTATTGAATTGAACTAGCTAAAACTTTCCAGCTACTCTATTGAAAACATGACAAATTAACCAGAATATTCGTCGAACATGGGAATATATTCGATTTTTGTGTGAATTCCAAAATGGAAACTAGTTTTTTATGGGATATGGGGGACAAGCAAACAGACAAATCGCCTGATATCAGGTGACCAGCATCGCCCGTGGACATTTGCAACACCAGAACAATTACAATGCATTGCCTGCGTCTTAGAAATTATTCGGAATTATTCGGAGTTAGAAGATTAAAATTATTCAGAGTCGCGGATAACTTAACGGGTTACCGGGGCTCCGGCTCGACGTGCAGGAGAAGGATCGGGGTGGTTTGCCGTCGGACCCAGAGGGAGAACCCACCCACTTCTTTCCCCGACGTGTTACATCTTCTCCCTCGCCCTTCATCTTACCGGCGCAATGCAAGAGATAGGTGGTAGTTTGGGGATCAGTGGGGTCCTACCACAACAATCCATGATGATTACGATTTCGTCACTGGACGCAGGCATCTCTTAGTGCAAAATAGTTTTGGGCGAAGCCCCATTAGTGCGTTGCGCTGCGTTGCGTCGCTACATCGCAACGGAACAATGCATCGTACGCCGCAGCAGGGCGCGCGACGTCGCAGCTGCATCCTTCGCAATTGACAGATACAAACGTGATGACTGTTCGTTAAAGCAGCGCAGCGTATCACCCTACATCCTATAAATCCCCCATCCATGCCATAAAAAATATACAGAAAGCGACGCAGCGATGACGCTGCTACGACGACGCAACAGACGAATTGGGCTTCGTCCATTCGATAAAGCCGTGGTATCACTGAGGCATTCCGCTCATAAAATTATCTAAGCCTAACGTACAAGGTACTTAGAGGTATTTCACGCGGAAATGCGTGCTGTAACACGCTGAATTCATACGTTTTTAGGTGATATTCGCGTGAGGACTTTTTGTAATTCGATTTTTTATGTTTATATGTGTTTGTCATGCAAGTTTTGAGGTGTGAACTTCGTGTAGCGTGTTATACGGTTATTGTAGGTCCAAAGTAATTAATGCTTGAGTTTTTTAGTCATTAATGATTATACTACCTCGTTGCCTCGACCGCCTCGTTGGCCGAGTGGTCGCAAGTACGACAGCGGGGCAAGGGGTTTCGGGTTCGATTCCCGGGTCAGGCCAAGTACTACTGAGTTTTTATAAATTCTCAGTAGTAGCACGGAGTCTGGAATTGTGCCCGGTATATGGCAATAGACTCACCCCTTATTACATGGGACTCATAACATAAATAGTGAAAAGTGGGTGTTACATTGTACAGTGGTATAATGTGCACCTCTGCCTACCCCTTCGGGTATGAAAGGCGTGATGTTATGTTATGTAATGATTATACAACAACCACGAAGACTTGTGTTCTATACCTATGTTGACCAACTAGCGTAGTTCGATGCTTATTATCGGTACTTAGGATTTTTTGTATATGATGAGTAGATGAGTAGGCGAGATAGTGGTCAAACACCACTATACTACACCTAGTGGCAAGCGATGGCGATTTTGGTTTGCTCTGTAGAATCGTAACGTATAGGTAATAATTATTGTTAACTGGCTTCTGCCCGTGACTTCGTACGCGCAATCCCGATTTCACCCGTTCCCGTAGGATTTTCAGACCTTTTTTCTGTCATAAGAACCTTCTCCTAATAATAACAAATATAACAAAAAAGAATTAGTGAATCGGTCATTCAGCCGTGATGCCGTGACCAAGAGAAAAAGGGATTCATTTTTAATTTATAGATACATTTTTACTTACCTATATTATCAGTGTGAAAATGTACTTCTAGTGTACTAAGTCGTAGATTGGAAATACTCATCTATTGTGTAGTTGTCGTGAAAATAAAATAGGATTTGTTAAATATAAATGAGAATTTTTAACAAGCAATTATAAAATTAATAACATGAACATTTTGAGGTCAGCCAGTGAATTCAGAAATCCATCGACCTTTACCTATCTCTTTAAATCTTTAATAAGGCCGCAACTTGAGTACGCTGTTGCTATATGGAACCCAATTTACCAAAAATATGAAAATGGCTTAGAAAGGGTACAAAAGAAGTTTCTACGTTATACTAATTTTAAATGTCTTCGTAAACAATTACCTTACAAGGCACTGCTTAAGTTATATAAGTTACATGATCTCAAGTCTAGAAGATTACAACTAGGAGGCTATGTTGTTGTTTGATATCTGTAATAACAAATATGATTGTATAAAATATTATATAAAATAACATATTCCGTGCCCTTGAGAGCCCATGTGAGAGCCTCTCGTCATAAGCAGGTCTTTGCTAAAACGCGATCACGTACTAACGCCGGCAGTCGGTCCCCGCTGAATCGAATGTTTGGGACATATAATAACAAGTTGAGTACATTGGCTATATTTAGCAATAGTAAACATGCATACAGAAAGCAAATAATCAAAATATTATCACAGGAAAATATATAAACCACAATATCGTACATCGTTATGTTGTGTTATAACTGCAACCTACACACACAGACACACACACAAATCAAACAAACATATGCATGCATACATACACGCATTTTTTTATTCTAATTATTTTCACCACGATAACACTTCCTATGAAACCTGATTGAAACATGATTATATTGAGGTGCAGGTTCATCATTTTCTAAATCATTTATATTTAGGTGACCATTGATGTTGAGTTTGCAATAAGTAAAATTGTAATAGTTAAGATATAAATATTAAGATGTATTGTAAACTTGATTGTGGTTCCAATAAAAAAAAAAAAAAAAAACATGGACGATTGTCGATACCTACATAGAATTTTATGGTAGGTATTCTTGTATAAGCAAGACAAACAATTATAACGAACAATTGTATATACATAGACATTATGTACCTAAGTAAAATATAGAATTGGTATTTATATATTAAAATTCGCGAAACAGAATTATGTTTTTAATTAAATATTTGTACCTATACACCTATTATTCATGCTAAATTATTATCTACACTATGTTTCCACAAAATATCTACCTATTGTCGTGAAAATGATGACACAATAACCATTATTTTACAGTTGTGTGTATATACATTATATTTTGCACAATTGTTTAAATAAAATATTTTATACTTAAACTTACATTTGCAAATAAAGATACAATTGTAAATTAAATTGAAATTGACAATAGGTACTTGGAATGGATATTATATTTTACGTGTTTATTCTGTGAAATACATTGATACCTACATAATTATGTATGTACCTATGTATTATTAATTATTATATACTAGCGACCCGCCCCGGCTTAGCACGGGTGCAATATGCATTTATTATACATGTCGAAGATGGTTGCCAAAGGAAATTGTAGATAATCTGTGGCAATTAATTTAATTTGTTCCAATTATTGATTTAATGTTAGATTTTATTACTAACTAGCTTCTGCCAGCGGCTTCGCCCGCAATCCCAGGAGGAAAATGCCAATGTATTACTTCAGACCATACTCTACCTCTGTTCCGAATTTCATTCCGGTCCCTTCAGTCGTTTTAATATGACTGAGTAACAAACATACACAAACGCACACAAACACATAAGCTCACATATTTTCACATTTATAATATCGAGTCAAGCTAATTTCAACCATCGGCCCTACAGTTACAGCGTAAAGTCTATGGATGAGTATTGAGTATTGTAAACGTAAGAATCAACAAATATAAGCAGAAAGCTCCGAACTGCTGAGCTGAGCTGAGGAGTTACACGTGTTATTGTAAGTCAACCATAAAAGATATACATGTGCTGTTGTGGGATATTATTTAGATAATTTTATGTAAAACATTTCCGTCATACATGATTTCTATGTAGTTTTAACTATTAAGCCTGCACACGCGACGGAAGCTTAAAAAATGGAGTAACTTCTCCCGTTTTCCCAATATTTCCCTTCACTGCTCTGCTCCTATTGATCGTAGCGTAATGAAAAGTATACTATAACCTGCCCAAGAGTATGAAGAAAAATTGTGCCAAATTTCGTTAAAATCCGTCGAGTAGTTTTTGTTTCCATAACGAACATACAGACAGACAGACAGACAGACAAAAATTTTACTGATTGCATTTTTGGCATCAGTAGCGATCCCTAACCACCCCTTGATAGTTATTTTTTAAATATATTTTATGTACAGAATTGACCTCTCTACAGATTTATTATAAGTATAGATATTACACCTTTCATTATATAACTTAGGTATATTATAATTACGGAGCCGCGGAAGACTTAACGGGTTGCCGGGGCTCCGGCTCGAAGTGCAGGAGTAGGAACGGGGTGGTTTTTAGTCAGTAAGAGTCTGACACTCCCTCCCGCCTCACCCGGGCGGGAGAGCAGTCATTGGATGATTTTCCCCCCTCAAAAAAAAAAAAAAAAAGGTATAGGTATTATAATTCGAGTCATGATTTAAGATAAATTGGTTGCTAATACAGTACCTAGTTATTTAACATATTAAACGCCTCGGGGGTCACCGGTGACCGATGTTAGCGGAGAAGTTGCCTTCAACAAATTTCTATTGGCAGTCAAAGGCTAAAATTGAATGCTAAATTATTTAGGGAATTATAAATAAAGGAGGTTGATGCCGATACGGAGCCGCGGAGGCCTTAACGGGTTGCCGGGGCTCCGGCTCGAAGGGCAGGAGTAGGAACGGTGGTTTTGAGAGGAGTCAGTTGAATTTTTTTTTCGTTGACCGACATGGTAACCGTTTACGTTCTCCGTGGCTTTGTATCGGCATTAGCCCTATTGGGCCCCATTCGTGGTGGTCTGATGGCTCTTTGAGGCGCGCACAGAACGCGACGCGCCGTACGCTTGGGTCTGGTACAGTTGGGGCTACCCAAGCTCGCCGTCTGCAGGTCCGATCGACAGATATATAGAGATATATAAATGTACAGTGTCTGCCTCGTTGACCGAATGATCGCAAGTGCGCAAGCGGTCTCGGGTTCGATTTCCGGGTCGAGCAAAATATTACTGGGCTTTTTCAAAAAATCTCATTAGTAGCACGGAGTCTGGAATTGTGCCCGGTATAATAATATGGCAGTAGGCTCACCCCCTATTACATGGGACTCATAAGTACTCATAACGCAAATAGTGAAAAGTGGGTGTTACATTGTACAGTGGCATTGAGTGCCGTAATGTACACCTCTGCGTTCCCCTTCGGGGATAAAAGGCGTGATATTATATTATGCTACTACGTATAAATGTACAGAAGTATAGATATAGTAACGTTTTTAAAATTTATTTATAGAAATTATCATCACCCGGCAAGGTAAAGTTCACGGACCCCAAGGAGGCGACTAGGCGTGAAGCTGAAGCGTTGTACAGAAAAGGAGTGGACATCATTGTATTACTCTCCCATTGCGGGTTCGAATCTGACAAGTAAGTTTAACTTTTTTCTTAAATTTTGCCTGAGATTAGAACAGTTTTCAAATAGATACCTCAATATAGGTAGGTATTTAAAATACTTTGTAAATCACTGACAATTTTCATTGTACAAATCGAATTAGTCTATGGGAATCGAATGCAGGGCTCAGAACTATGTAGTTGCATAGCAGACAACTTTAGTCACTGCGTCAATCGTGACGTAATGACGATATCTTCTAATTATGAGTTCCAGTGTGGCTCGAAACTAGTCGAGATTTAACGAATAATAAATTAATGAGTAATGTTGAAGTGGGTTTATACCTATAGGTATACTTTACTTTGGGGACCGGTAATAATCTATGTATACAGATAAATAAATTGGAGTGCCTGTTTGTAATATTAAAATAACCGCTTTTTACTTCTTGCATACGATACATATACGAAAACAACATTTTTTTTCTGTTTGTCTGTACTGGCTCATTTCTGAAATGGCTGGACCGATTTTTATTGGCAGGTAGCTGATGTACTATTTATTTATTTACCAACAGCTTCTGTATACATAGCATTAAGTGATAATGAAGGTAACAATAGGTATAAGGCTTATACAATCTCCAATAAATAGGTTAACCAATATTTAATTACCTAAGTCATAATAAAAACTATACTAAGGAGTAACATACTTTTATTTCATTATAAAAATCTTTATTATAATAATCTGTAGATACAAAGTCACAAACTTTGTTAACTATGTAGATATTATATTATATTTCTTTGAAATATAGAAACTACATACGACACGGAAAGACACACAAGGCGACTTATTCATAGAGTACTAAGATAACACCAATTCAGATCTACAATGCAACATGAAGCTACACAAATCCAGTTTATCAGAGCCCTGCTTAGTATGGTCCTTCTGCATATGCGAAGGTCTGTTTATACTGGTTTATATTTCAGTTTGACGTGTACCCCATTTAAGATAAAACCATCTAAGTCGGCCATTGAAACTGTTCAACCGACCGTTTGATCCTACGATTGTCTATTGTTCCACCAACGAGTCGACAGCAGACGATAAAATTGCTCAATTAGAGTCCATATGTGACTTCACTGAGGTATACACGGCAACATATCAAGTTATACAAAACCAATTTAAAATGACCGTTGAGTATGTATGAAGGGTTATTCGAAGCTAGACCAGGATAATCTGGTTATGTATAACTGTAGTTGTGTGTAACTTATATATAAATGATATAATGATACATTGTTTGTACGGGAATTAGCGAATGATGACGTAATAGCATTAATTTTGTTGTTGCGGTCGAATTTTTGCTTCTTTTCACAGCCAGGACAAATGACTGTTGCTCCATGTTAAATTGATACTGATATTCAACCAAATCTTGTTAAGATTAAGGCTGATTTTAATTTCAAGTGCGAGATATTTGGTGGTCAGCGCTGTCCATCGAACGCGCTTATACCTACGCGTCATTCAAAAACGCTTCCTAGAAGTTTATATATCTCGGCCAGCAGTGCTGATGGTGCGAGTACCGTCAGCGTCAGACTAAATTCAGCCTAAATGCTTATAGAAAAAAGACTCGGAGAAAGACTTTTTATCATCATCATCGTCATCACTGTTTGAGTCTACCGCTGGACTATGGACCTCATCTACAAAAGAGTTGTTAATTTGTCATTATCTCTACGTTCCGTAAACACGATGTGGATCGCCCTTAAAATAAAAGTTTATTAGAGATATACTATTTATTTTATATTAGATGGGAATGGGACTGACGTTTGACCACTATCTCGCCTGGTGGTAAGCGATGATGTGGCCTACGATGGAGCACGTCGACCCATAAGCAACCTATTCACTCGGGCCTTCAAGACACCCAGATTAACACAGACTCTGGCAAAGACTTCCACTCCTTAGCAAATAAATTACTAAGACAAAGTCAAAGCATGTATTTCAATTAAACCATAATTTGGTATTTTTGAAATGTCAACAAATACAAAATAAATAATAGTCTGTCAGTCAGTCCATCAGTGAAGCTAGGTGAAGCTAGGTGAGGCTAGGTACTAAATAAATCTTTATCCATTTGCGTTTGTTATTTGTCTGTCTCAAAAGGTAACCAATTCCATATCACGAGACGATCACGTATGGTGACAATTTCTTCGCTATCTAACTCTATAATCTTTGTTTAGCAATTTCGGAGATTGGGTCGGACTGACAGACATGAAAATGATATCGAAAGACAGCTGATATCTATTTTATAAGTAGCTAGTTTAAAATTGCAGATGCTCAATTGATGACCTAATAAGATAAGACAAAAATAATAGAAAGAAGGTTAGCACTTTGATGCGATGTCGCAATCTAGGTTTAGACAAAAGTTAGAATTCAGATCAGTTATTTCTGAAAGGGGTACAGTAGAGGTCTTGCTCTTGTATACTTGAGGCGATCACAATACATAGAAAAACAACTGATCAGATCTAGATGAAAGGCATAGAGCTATAAATTTTACTCAAAGAAACCATTCCTTTATTTTCGAAGTGAAAGAAAACGGCATTCGAAGATTTTTAAAAGTTCGCTTGCCGCACAAGGTAGGTAATCGAACCGACAAAAATCTTTAAAAGTTGCACCCTGCACTTTTATTGCATCGATCGTCAGGGTCAATTATTTGATTACCATGCGCAACAAGCGAATTTTTAAAATCTTTAACGCACACAAAGCTACTTGCAAATACTAATAATACCTATATTATGCTATATATCTTTTAAAATATATACGCATTTACACATTTATTTTTACTCGAATCAAAACGGTATTATCCTTGTTTAAACTGTCGAACACCAAGCGGTCACCGGTGACCGCAACCTATTGTTCTATAATTGTGTCTACAAAACCGGTACTCGACGAGTTAAACAAAATGTGCAAAGACCATGAGAAATTAAATTAGTAATGCAAATTCTGTGAAAACAAAGAAAAAATACAGAACAGTTTTATAGATATTTGAACAAAGATATTTTGATGCTAATTATTCAATTCAGGTTTCGTTTTATTTTTTTTATTGGTGTCGTTGACTGCGGTATTAGATATTCACACTCACAGAACAAACAAAAGAAGTCTCATCTGTTCTTACATTTGCGATATCGAATAAATAATTTTAACTAACGAGGCGCCATTTGTGCGTCTAACGGAACAACGCATTGTAGGCTTTAACACCTTGAACGCCATGGGGGACAAGGTATGGGCCACGCTAGCGGAGGATTAACCTTCAACAGTTTTCTGTCGACAGTCAAAGCCTTAACAGGGTTGCGACGACACAGAACGCTTTTTTATGGCATAAGCCGGTAAACGAGCAGACGGTTCACCTGATTGGGAAGCAATCGGCGCCGCCCATGGACACTTGAAACATCAGAGGCGTTAGAAGTGCGTTACGAGCCTTTTGAGAATGGGAAATTTGAGGATAGTGGGGGATTGGGGAGACTGGAGAGCGGGGGTAATTGGGTCTCCGGTAACCTCACTCACACGACGAAACACAACGCAAGCGTTGTTTCACGTCGGTTTTCAGTGAGGTCGTAGTATCACTCCAGTCGAGCCGGCCTATTCGTACCGAAGCATGGCTCTCCCACACTTTATAATGTCGCAGCTGCGTCTCAGTTCATCTTTCACAATAGATAGATTAGACCTTCCGCTTCATTTCTCGTCCATCGATCCGTTGAAACGTATAGCTGACTAAATGACTAAACAATTATAAACACTATCTTATCTCAATGTTTTTTTTTGCTTTTCCAGGGAAATAGCCCGAGATGCTGGAGAACACATAGACATAATAGTGGGAGGCCACAGCCACAGTTTGCTCTGGAACGGCAAAGCTCCTAGCGGGGAGGTTGTCGAAGGTCCTTACCCTGTGTTCATCGAGCCTACTGTCGATAAAGATCATGAGGTAAGAAGACAAACGAATATGTACTAATTACTCATTACACATACCGTGGTAATTGATTTTCTAAAATAAAATCACACTAACACTATAAATGTTTCTTTGTATGGGTGTTTGGATGTTGTTCGTCATTTATGCTGAAAGTACTGAACGGATTTTGATAAAAAACACGCGAGTTATGGGCTGACTTAGGTCATAGGATACGATTTTAATCCCGATTAAATGCTCCCTTGGGATAAAACAGGAATCATATTCTACGCGAACAAAGTCGCCGGCAACAGCTAGTACAATTTAGTAATAAAATTGACAATTCAAGTGTATGATCCCCTAGTCATTTCTTATTACTCTCATGGCGAGGGAAGAGCAGCGGTGACTATAATATAGTCTGCTTTGCTACATTAATCACGTCGCGTAAAACATAATTCAAAAATAATCACGATAATAATTTTAAGAAGTTACTTAGTTAATCTGATAAGCCTTGTTCGGGAAAACACCGAAATATTTCCCATTTGCAATGATGATTTAATGTTATAATTTTCGGCTTACTCATGTAATTATTTGACGAGGAACTCGAAAAGTTTCAAGCCATGCTAGAGGCTCATATTCGTGAGCTGCATTCTACGACGCGCGACGCGGCAAATACCGCGCTGCTACTGATACTAGTCGAGTTCCTCGTCAAATAATTACGTGAGTAATCTGAAAAAAACATAATAAATAATTTAGTATGTCTTACGAAAGTTATAATATAGATAATTTAATGATTTTCAAACATTCCTTTTTACAGGTCCTGATAGTCCAAGCTTCAGCCTTCACTAAATACATGGGTAACTTGTCTGTCTACTTCGACTTCCGAGGCGATTACGTCAAGTGGGAAGGCAACCCGCTGTACCTAGACCGGTCCATACTTGAAGGTAAAGTAAAAATATAATGCATAATGATAATTAAGATATTTAAGTGACGTTTAAGTGTGGGAGTGTCATGTTTCGGCACGAATGGGCCGGCTCGACCGGAGTGATACCGCAGCCTCACAGAAAACCGACGTGAATCAACGCTTGCGTTGTGTTTCGTCCTGTGAGTGAGGTTACCGAAGACTCAATTACAATCAATTTGACAAATAAGTGTGCATACCTAATCAAGGTTCTTCTATAATTAGATTAGCCTTAAAATAAATGTTTTTTCTGAACTATGTACAACACTAGATAACTCGCATGATAACCTTATGTGAGATGAATCTGACATTGCCTGAATGAAGAACATTGTATATATGTAATTAATGTAATTGACTGAATGACAGCCTCATTGGCCGAGTGATCACAAGTGCGACTGCCGGGCAAGGGGTCTCGGGTTCGATTCCCGGGTCGGGCAACGTATTACTGGGTTTTTAAAAATATTCAGTAGTAGTACGGAGCGGTATATGGCAATAGGCTCACTCTATTACATGGGACTCATAACATAAATAGTGGAAACTGGGTGTTACATTTAACAGTGGCATTAAGTGCCGTAATGTGCATCTCTGCCTACCCCTTCGGGGATAAAAGGCGTGATGTTATGTATGTATGTAATGTAATTGTTTGTATTTGATGTCATCAATCATATACATATCTACGATTGTAAATAGCTTCTCAGCAATTTACAAATTAAAAATATTATGTTGCCCTTCGAGACCACTCCGAAAATTACTGGTATATGAAATAAAATATATTACTGAAAAACTGCCTCATTGGCCGAGTGGTCCCAAGTTTGTGCGACTGCTGTGCAAGGGGTCTCGGTTCGGAGATAAAGGGCGTGATGTTATGTTATATAATTTTAACTATTCAAAACTTTTTTCAGACCAAGTGATAAAAGAAAAGTTAGCTCCCTATGCGAAGAGAGTGCACGAGGCTGAGAATGTTCCCGTGGGGTCAACTTTGAACACCATGAGGTTCAACGACTGTGTCTTCGGGGAATGTACCATCGGAAACTTATTGGCTGATGCCATGGTTGAAAATGTGAGTACATGTTTATATCTGGACTGAGAAATGTGCTTTGAAAAATGGACACGGAAACAGAAACTGATTACCACTTTTATTTCTTTAATGAATTTGCAATAACCTACCATTAAGTGTGGGAGAGCCATGCTTCGGCACGAATAGGCCGGCTAGACCGGAGTGATACCACAGTCTCACAGAAGACCGACGTAAAACAACGCTTGCGTTATATTTCGTCGCGTGAGTGAGGTTACTGGAAGCCCAATTACCGCTGCCCACCCTTTCCCAATCTCCCCAATCCCTGACATTCCTCAAATTCCTAATCCCCAAAATGCCGGTAACGTACTTGTAATGCCTCTATGGTGTTCCAGGTGTCCATAGGCGACAACGATTACTTACCATCAGGTGATCCGTCTGCTCATTTACCGCATCAGCCCATAAAAAAAAACAAATTTAGAGGCGTTCTGGAACCAAGATAGTTATCCATGTCCCTGGGACGCTACGGATTTCAGTGTTCCGGAGTTTTTGTAGTTGTATCTACTGTAGATCCTGAGTTACTAGAGTTGCAGTGGTTTCGGGAGGTTGTGGCGGCTTGTCCATAAAAAAATTATAGGGGTGCTTTTTCTCTTACCTACTTTTTAAATATTATAAACTTTGACGACATGTTGGTTTTTAAAGTTGCGCTTTCTATGTATTTCAGGCCAACAACGCCACTTCAAAAGACATACATTATATGTCGTTTATACAACGTGGAAACATCAAGGCTTCAATTATGGAAGGAGGTTAGTTAAATTATTTGTCTCCGTAATTGATTTAGTTCACTACTGCTGTAACTTAGCTAGACCTAATCAGACAGGGTAAAAATAAAATAAATAACTAAGTTGTAAGCAATAAAAGACAAGTTGATAAAGTTTCATGGTGACTCGGAGGTCTAAGACGCCCGCTTCTCATGCATGAGGTTGCGGGTTCGGAAGCTACCAACAACAAGTACCAACCAATGTGACTTTTTCCGAGTTATATGTACCTACTTTTGAAGATTGTTTAGATATCACTGACAAACGGTGAACGAAAAAACTTCATTAGGAAATCTTAACTTATAATTTCTAATTATAAGTTTGAAATCGCCAACCTGGACCTGCATTGAGCAAGCGTGGTGATTAATGCTCAAACCTTATCCATGTGAGAAGAGGCCTTTAAACTGTCAAACACCAAGCGGTCACCGGTGACCGCAACCTATTGTTCTATAATTGTGTCTACAAAACCGGTACTCGACGAGTTAATTGGCCGTGGCCATATAATATAGGTTGTTGATGAATAGCAATAAAAGATTTATAACTTTTATTTGAAAAATTATTGGCATTGTTCTATTTTCTTCCATACCAAAAATACTTTTTCTATTTCAGTGGTAACAGCTGGATCAATATTCGAACTCCTACCATTCAATGATCGAGTAGAGATCTTCGACATCGAAGGGAAGTACATTCGGCAGGCTCTGGAGAGGAGCGTCATTGATGCTTGGGCCTACGATCCTTTCAAGGGACCCTGGTTGCTGCAGATTTCAGGTGGGTTGAAACTTATTAGTATAAAATGAAAGTGCACACTCTAATTCGGACAGTCGTAGTTCTTTGATTTGCTCTAATCATTGTTCAGAACCCATGCTAGTAATCTCTTTAACATTGTGCATCGTGGTCTCGGCTATTAGTTCCACTGGTTCGAAGAATGTTGCGGTTCACTTTCCCCTTCAAACATCTCTTTTACTTACTTCTTCTCTTTCTACTGTCTTCTAAACTTTAATTTCATTTTTGAGGTCAGTACTGAGCCTTCATCTTGTTTCGTTTTTCAGAAATTATGTTACGAGGTAATTAATGGTGGGAATTTTACTATAATTATGTCTTGACCAATTTCAGACTATGTTCTTATTCAATACTAGCTTCGTCCGCTTTTCCAGGGGTAAAAAGTAGCTTACTATGTTACTCCAGACAATAATGTACCTCTGTTCCAAATTTCACACAAACTCCCATATTTTTCCATTTGTAATATCATTTCAAGCTAATTTCAAAGTCCACTGCGGACAACCTAACATTATACAAACTTATATTTGCGTTTGGTACAGTAACTGTGTCTAGGGATTGAGCCGCACAATTAAGTTAGATTTTTCGTGTACAAACTTTTTCAGGATAATCAGAATAAAAATTACCCGGTGTTGTTCCCAAGATATTAAAGTATACTCATACTGAGTTCCATCGTTATCCAACCGACAGTTTTTGCGTGATGCGTGAACAAACATACAGACAGGCAAACAAAAATTTTTTTATCATTTGTTTGGGTTCGCTGTCTATATGATAACACCCCTACTATTTTTTTTTAATTTTCAGCGTACAGAATCTGCACTTCTATAGTTTTATTACTTATATTAATTTTCTCTTTACTAAAAAAACCATTGTAATACTTTTCTTGACTCAAAAATCAAAGCTGTAATGTTCAGTAGTTCATATGTGATATTTTGCAGGTCTTCGAGTAACCTACAACGTATCTTTACCTGAGAATCACCGTATCACTTCTCTAGAGATTGGAGACAGCAAGGAACCTCTTGATGACAGTAAAATATACCATGTGACTGCACCTTTATATTTGGCCAATGGAGGCGATGGTTTCACTGTAAGTGTCTTTGAAATTTTTACTTTATGTATATAAGAAAAATGTAATATCGTGGTGGCTTAGAAGTTTAAGACGCCCGCTTCTCATGCATGAGGGTGCGGGTTCGAAACCTACCAACAGCAAGTACTAATGTGACTTTTTCCGAGTTATATGTACTTTATAATATTATCTAGACCCCATTGACAAACGGTGAAGGAAAACATCGTGAGGAAACCTTACCTACCCTTTTTTGGATAAAAGGCATGATGTTATGTTAGAAATTTATATTTACATATCTTTCTACAATTTTCAGATGTTCAAAGAAGGCAAACACAACGAAAGAGACATTGGACGCGATCAGAAGATCGTAGAAGAATACATCAGATCTCATTCTCCTCTTAACATCCAACTCGATGGCAGAGTGATAATTAACAGTTGACTGAATTAAACCAAAAAAAAATAAATAAAGTTCATAATTTAAATATACGGCTCATACACGTAAACTAGAACTATTCGATATAGATACGCAACTGTGTGACGTCACTGTCCGTCATAATATGGCCGCCGCTATAACTTGAAACTACGTGGCTGTATATTTCAATTAAAAGTTTAAAATTCACATGGATGATAAAAATAATGAAGGGTCAACATGCGCTCACTTCTTTATAAGATGCTCGAAGAGGCTAAGTGAGTTTGTACTTGAGTTTGATAAATTAAAATGTGACGAGCGTATGCCTCTATTATTTCATCATCTGTGGTATCTCTTCATACAGTGTGTTGTATTTTGTTGTTTATCTATTTTAGATTGAAGTGTCTGATTGTGAATTTATTGATTGTCAAATAAATATGATATAGAAGATATTTAGATAAACGTGAACAAAATAATAATATAAGAATGAATGTGTACGTGAAAAAAGAACATTATCATAACCTCATTAACAACAAGAAGTATTAGAGGTAGTATCTACGAAACTGCAAACAAGGGCATTGTATGTAGCATCTGCCCAAAGCCGAGGTTGTTAAATATAAAAATAAACAATAAGCACAATTTTTAGTTTTAATAATATGTTTTTTTAAATCTATGAAACAGTCTACACACGAAAACTTAAAATACTAAAATGAAGTAATCACTTCATATTAGAATTTTATCTAAATATGATTTTTAAATCAACACACTGTATAAAAGACATTTTAGAAACCTAATTTTAAACCAAATTACTTTGACCTAAGGTACATTATGATTTGAAATGTTGTGATATCTATCATCTTTTGCTACTGAGCATCTTTCATTAAGTCGCTGTCAAACAGTGCCTTCTTTTTCTATTTCACCTCTTTTTTGTTATGTCTCTTTTTAATTCGTAATTTTAAAAAAAGTCGTTAAATTAAATGTAGAATAGTTCTGTAGACAAATGATACAACGCGCTAGTCAAATTGATATTTATAGAAAAGTCATTACATGACATTAAAATTGACATTGACATTGACATACAATAAATCGCACCTCTAATGATAAACCGAAATAATGCGACATTTTAAATTGTTGGGAAAATGAGGTCAAAGTTCTGCGAGTATGACTGGGTTTATATTTTTACGAACTACAAAAGGACGATTACGATTACAATGAGTCTAGTTAGTGGTTAATGTAAGTAATGAAATTAACTATCAATAGGTATATGAATGTTTGCAATACAATCACATTTTTTTAGAGTACGATACCTCTATCTCACCAAGATGGACGATACCTCTATCACACTCTGCGCGTGCAAATCCAAATTGCCTGTTAGACTGTTGTATTCGTAACACGATTTTAATGCGTTTTATGACGAAAAGTCTTTCTTTTTTTTTTCTTCTTTGGCAACCGAGTCTCCAAAACGGTGATGTCGACTATACTGCCAGTGTCGAGTGGTGACGGCAAAATTAATGAACCGTCGAACTTAACTTTGCGGTAGTTTGTAGTTGTTATTAGCTGAGATGACAAAACAATTGGGTTAGTAAACATAGACATTATCAACTATTTTATTGTATGTACACAGTGGTGTAAACAATAGTTGGGGGACGTTTTTTTTTTTACTTATTACGGTTTATTACTAAAGGTGACATATTATGTCAAAACTAATGTCAATGTCACGGATGGTCGTATTCACCAATGATTTCTAAACTTTGCTTGACATAGCACCTACACTAACCCCTTACTTCACTGTTAGATGTCACTAATAGGTAACAAAATGACGTTAAATGTCACCAATTTGAGCTTAGGGGTTCCTGTAGTTGGGTGCATGAAGTTTCTATTTAATTTGACTTGAATATCGTAGCGTAATTAATATATTATGTATCTATTATAGCGAATTTAATTGTAACCATATTTTTGTAGTTTTAACAAAAAATCTTAGTCATTTTTTTGTTATTCCGTGACGCGGGTCGTATTGATTGGCTTGTCGTCCCTATGATTAGGGATACGATATCCAGATAATAACTTTCATCTTTAAAAGGCAAATTCAGTTTAATAAAATCAATCCATGCAATTCGTTTATCTATTTTAATTCGTATTAATTACCAATTAAGAATGAATTTAGAATGTGTTGTCATCTTCAATGTTAATAATAATTAATTTTAAACGTAAAGGGCATTTTTTCTGATATTTGAAATATTTATGTTTTAATGACGGGTGCCATCTTTGATTAGGCGCATCAGTTATGTTTGAAAAAAAAATAGTTTTTCGTTTTAATTATAATACATACCTACCGTCTTGTTTAGAAAATAAATAAATTATTATTTGAAAATGATTATTGTGTTTTATTTACTTATTTATATATTTAGGGACAAAATACAACAGTTACATATTAAAATTTTACATACAAAATCTTACACTGAACAATAGCTACAGTAAATATGTAACCCACACCATTGCTCACAATTTGGTACAAAGTATAACGGCAATAATGACAGTGTTACGATAGTGTTATCTTAATTTAATTAAATTAAAGTTTACAAAATGTAAATACCACATTGAAACATACAATTAAAAACCAATGTACGAATCTTATATTTTACAAAAAGAGAATAACTAATCAATAAACAACCATTATTGTTACAAACCAGCAGTCTGAAGCCCCATTTATTTTGAGGGGCAAAAATCTAATCATCTAATGACTTTTCCCGCCCGGGTGAGGCAAGAGGGAGTGTCAGACTCTTACTGACTTAAAACCAGTTCGTTCCTGCACTCCGAGCCGAAGCCCCGGTAACCCGTTAAGTCTTCCGCGAGTCAGAAGCCTCATGACCTGCTTTCGTTTTATTATCATTGTAGTGCTTAATACCTATTTGATTTAAGTTATGAGAGAAGGCACAAAAGTCAAGCTAAAAATAAAATTCGATAATTTAACATATCTTAAACCGTTTAATAGATATTAGGCGAAAAAGAGTCAGAAAGGAAGAGTCAATATCGATATTTAATATCAATCAATAATATGCATAATAGGTTTCAAAATGATGTATTGTTTGCAGGATACTACAGGATAAGCGTCTGGGCAACCGACTGTTGCGCAACTTGTGGCGGGTCCGATTCCCGCACGGAGCAACTCTTTGTATGATCTACAAATTGTTGTTTCGAGTCTGGGTGTCATGTACATGTGGACGGGTCTGTTTGTAAACGCACCTACGATACAAAAGATAATCTTAGTGTCGGACAACGTTTAAAAAAACATACAAATAGTCCACCAATATCCACACCTTAGCAAAAGGCAGTGACAACATAAGTTTCACGGTACACAAAACTCATCAATATTTACGAGTTTGTTGACACTGAATAAATATAGGAACGAATAACCAAGCCTACCAGTAAACGTTTGACACGAAACTCGCATCAATTTTTCCGGAAAAAAAACAAAAAAAAGGAAAAAAAAACGACTAACAGCCGAGTCCCATCAAAAATGCCATCCATAACCGTAAAAAAGAATCTTTTTCCTGCCCCTAAAAGGTCTGTTCCAGTTCTTTTTTTTCATACACACTAAAAGTACCCTGTGTATATCATACCTTATGCAAAAATGCAAAAATGTCTACGTGAGTCGCATTTTGGTACGTGGGGTTCTGTACTGTTATGAGTAAGAGTCAAATCTGTCTATAGCAAAGTGGGTACAAGCACAAATGTTTTGAATGCAAGGGATTTTGAATTAAATACGAATAATTGAGCAATTGTCCAAGGTTTTTAAGGTTTTAAAATACTTCCTCTGCCTCGTTGGCTGAGTGGTCGCAAGTGCGACTGCCGGGCAAGTGGTCTCGGGTTTTAAAAAAAATCTCAGTAAATAGCACGGAGTCTGGAATTGTGCCCGGTATATGGCAATAGGCTCACCCCCTATTACATGGGGCTCATAACATAAATAGTGAAAAGTGGGTGTTACATTGTACAGTGGCATTAAGTGCCGTAATGTGCACCTCTGCCTACCTCTTCGGGGATAAAAAGGCGTGATGTTATGTGCATGTGTATGAAATTCTTCCTTGCAAAACCCCTTTTTTTTAAGGGGGGAAATTCATCGAAAGGCTCCTCCCGCCTGGGTGCGGCGGGAGGGAGTGTCAGACTCTTACTGACTAAAAACCACCCCATTCCTTCTCCTGCACGTCGAGCCGGAGCCCCGGTAACCCGTTAGGTTCTGGAGAACAAAAAGCTTTTATATTATTAACAAAATCTTTCAAAATGCTACGCTTCAAATGTTTTTTCGTTGCCCTTCCCTAAAAATTTCTCCTGTGTCGTGTGTGCGTTTAACAACATACAATTTCATATACACAGTACTTCCAGACCCAGAAAACAATTTGTCGATCACACAAAGAGTTGCTCCGTGCGGGAATCGAACCCGCGACACGTTGCGTGGCAGCCGGTTGCCCAGCCACCGTATGGTAGTGTAAGTAGCGTAGAATTTCATCTTTAAAATTAAGTACTTGATCCCTAAAATATCTGAAACTAGAAGGAAGGTTACACATGTGTAGTAAGACCAACTTAGAAGATTCTCGCTTATTCCCATGGAACCCTAAAAAGAAAAAAACTCCATCAGGTAAATGGTGGGTGTCGCGAGCCTAATGAGAGTGAAGGAGCATCCATATTTGACACTTGTTCATTGTGTTTCTTGGAAACCAGGTAGCTAGAGCAACTCTGTGTAAGATGGAAGATGGTTGACATTCGGTACTTAGTATAAAATAGGTCACAAAATAGTACCTACCCAAGTTATGTATTTATCTTGACTTGCTTATTAGGGCCGATTTTTTAATGCTCAGTTAAATTATATCAAAGGAATAACTTTACATACTACTAGCGGCCCGTCCCGGCTTCGCACGGGGGTACTTAAGATTTTTTACATAGTTTTACGTTTTATTTATTTTCAGTTTTTTTTATTTAGGAAGTATTTACCTTTTGAAAATATTTTTCCGGACTTCATTTACTTATTTCATTTATTTAATTAATTATTTTCTTCTTAAATAGGAACCTACCTATTTTGTTGTTGTTTGTTTTAGTTGAGGTAAAAATTTGTTTTTAAATCGTTTTTTTACATTTGAACCATTCATTAAAACGATTGTTATGGGTAAACTATAAAAGGTAGACATATGCTCTCGCGGACTTTTTTAAAAATAATGTTAAGATGAACAATTCATCTATAGAGCATTTTTGTATAACTTTAACTATATGCTCAGCGCACGCCACGGAAGGCCTCAGAAACGATACTTTTCCCCCGTTTTTAAAACATTTTTGGTTACTGCTCCACAACTATAGGACCTAGCGTGATATTATATAGCCTATGTTACTTCTGAATAATGCAGCTTTCTAATGGTGAAAAAATTATTGCAATCGGTCCAGTAGTTTTTGAGTTTATTCATTACAAACATACAAAAATACAAATCTTTCCTCTTTATAATATTAGTATAGATATAGATATATGAGAATTCTTCCATACTAAAAACTGTCAAATGTCAATTTTATTCTATAGTTAAGAATAAAACTAACTGTAGATTGAAAAATCGGATCTTAGAATTAAATAAATTGTCGCGGAAAACCTTTTAGTCGCGGAGAATCTACCGGGTTACCGGGGCAACGGCTCGACGTGCAGGA